CTCTAAGTAGAAATGAAGGTGGAAACATCTACACCCAACTCAAACACCCAACATGCAATTTAACATACTTAGCATTTCAATTTAAAGAGTGCCAAAAAAAGAGCTAGTACCTTCGTTTGGGATTTCTCCGGAATCAAAGAGATGTGGGTATCTATTCTTCATATCCTCTTCAGCCTCCCAAGTAGCTTCCTCAACGAACTGATTCCTCCATAAGACATTTACCGATGCTACCTCATTTGTTCTCAACTTGCAAACCTGACGATCAAGGATCTGAACGGGAATCTCCTCATAAGGTAGGATGTCCTTAATACCAATATTCTCAGTAGCTATAATAAGCGAAGGATCGCCCATACACTTCTTCAACATAGAAATATGAAACACTGGATGGACTGTTGCTTACTCTAGCGGTAGCGCTAACTTATAAGATACATTGCCGATTCTATTGGATATCTTGTAAGGACCAATATATCGGGGACTAAGCTTACCCTTATTAGCAAATCTCATAACACCCTTCCCGGGTGACACCTTCAAGTAAACCCAATCATCCACGCCAAACTCTATGTCTTTTCTCCTAACATCTGTATAGATTTCTGACGACTCTGCACTGTTTTAAATCTCTCTTGAATGATCTTAACATTCTTCATAGCTTGATGAACCAAGCCTTGTCCTATCAACCCAGCTTCACCGACCTCAAACCATCCAATAGGGGATCTATATCTTCACCCATAAAGGGCCTCATAAGGAGCCATTTGAATGCTAGAGTGATAGTTGTGGTTGTAAGCGAACTCTATGAAAGGTAAATGATCATCCTAATTAACTTTGAAATCGATCACACAAGCCCTCAACATATCCTCTAAAGTCTGAATCTTGCGCTCTGCTTGACCATCAGTCTGAGGATGGAAAGCAGTACTCAAATCTACCTTCGAACCCAAACCATTCTGGAAAGACTTCCAAAATTGTGTGGTGAATTGAGAACCTCCATATAAAATGATAAACACAGGAACTCCATGAAGTATGACTACCTCTTGAATATATAATCTGCATAATCTTTTGTTGAATATGTAGTCTTTACTGGGAAGAAATAAGTTGATCTAGTCATTCGATCTACAATCACCCACATTGAATCATGTTGCATACAAGACCGCGGTAAACCAGTAATGAAATCCATATTGATCATCTTCCACTTCCATTGAATTTCTATATTCTCAACCACACCACCGGGCCTTTGGTGCTCTACCTTGACTTGTTGACAATTTGGGCACTTGGCAACGAACTTTGTAATACACCTCTTCATTAGCTATTTCGAGTTTAGCTCTTTCTAAGACTGAGGTGTTCCAAAAACTCACCCATATCCGCCCATCCACCCACTTAACCAGGCATGCATCAGATCAAGGCATGCATTTTTAGGGTACAAGTTTTCTCTCTATTTTTTGGGTGATTTTTTTGGATTAAAGTTAAGAGATCAGAAGCTTCAATCTAGGAAGCCAAAAAGCTTTAAACCACATAACGAAGAAGTGGGACACAAAATTTTCTTATGAATGAGATAGAAACTTATTTCTCCATCATAAGAAGCAACTACATTTTTGTTACTCCATCTTATATAACAAATAAAAAGATGAGCATACGCATTACAAAAATGTTAGTTTTAACCAACAAAAAGTTCTTGCTTTTAAGCTTGACGAGATAATCATGATCTGATTATCAAAAGAAAGAACCAACAAAAAGTTCTTCCATTTAAGCTTGACGAGATAATCATGATCAGATTATCAAAAGAAAGAATGCAATTAACTGGTAAGCAGATCATCATCAAAAGAAGCAAGAAAAGGATTTGAGCTCACTTTTGCCATAAAAACTCATTTTGAGTAATATGAACAGATGACATCACTCCTTCCGACAGTTGGACCTTCAATAAAGAAAAAAAACAATTCACCTCACTACTTGATATAAATAGGCATACTGTAATGAAAAATCACCTATAATATAAGAAAAGGGGTTGCATGTGTTATATTGGCTCCATAAGCATTACTTTATATTGTTATCCTTACAAATATATGGTTGACAATAAGCAAATAACAAATTGTTTACATAAATCATGTCAATGGTGTAAGTATCTATGTTTGATGGAAGGGAAAATAAAGTAACTCAATAATAAGGAATGTACTTCATAACATCAACCATCCAAAGCACTAGGATATTAAATAAGAGCCATTTTTTACAATTAAAGTTTATTAACAAACATAGCAGCACTAAGAGGGTCTGGAGTTGTAGAACACTTATGACTATAGTTGTCACACCCTATCTTAAGAATAGAAGTGCCACATCAGCAAAACACAAGAGAGGTGTTGGTTATTTAAGTAATAAGACCTTACCAACTAGTGACACGTTTTAAAGTCGTGTGGGCCTAAGCTCGGAGCGGATATTATCACTAGCGGGTTGGGCCGTTACAAATGGTATCATAGTCACTCTTGTGTCAACCTTGTCGATATGGGATATAGTTTGACTGAGCTTAGCCAAGTCCAAGTCCATAGATGGGGTGGGGTGTATGTGACGCCCCAACTTAATATTAGAAGTCCCACATTGACAAAGCACAAGATAGATGTTGGGCATTTCAGTAAGTCGACCTTACCAACTAGTGACGCGTTTTAAAGATGTGCAGGCCTAGGCTCAGAGCGACAATATCACTAGCGGGCTGGGCCATTACGATAGCTCTTTCCCGCTGCAAGGAGCCAATATAGTCCAAAAGAATGGAATATTGACTTACACATTTTATTTGCATTTAATAAGCCCAGTTTTGTTGAGAGAACAAAGTTGACTTTGTAGAGAAACTACAACTTTCAACTAGTTATCTACAATGGCAAAAACAAAGTACAATAATTTAGACATGTGTCGACTCAATATCACCTGTAAAAAGTGATGAAACTACCCACTTTCCAAAATTACAACTCTTTTGTCCATAAATACAAACCCCATATAAGTACTCAACAAAACACCATAATCTCCTCAAGAATTATTTCTAATTTTCGTAAATTTATATCTTAAAAAATTCATAGTCAAGCCAATGCCTCGAATTCTTGGTAGTACCTCCGTAGACTATGACCGAAATCACAGACACACACCTAAACTTAACTAGGGTCCTATTACCCCTCGAACTCATTTTTTTCATATTTTTGTGCACCTTTTTTGTGCTGACGTGGCACCTTCAACCTCCCAAGTTGGTTGTGTTTGTACACACGCGTCTGCCACGTGTGTAGATATTATTTTTAAATTTTTTGAAATTTGTTTTAAAAAAAATATTATTTTTTTAAAAATATTCCTATTTTCTTTATCTTGTATTTAATTCAATTTAATAAAAAAAAAAAATTTACCTTGTATCGAAACGCTTTTTTTACCTTCATTCATTGTTATTTCTCTTTTATTTTTTATTGATTTTATTTACTCTTTTTATTTTCTTTGTCTTTCGTTTTGATTTGATTTAAAATGTCTTGTATTTAAAATAAGTTAATTTCAAACGGATATCAAAACAAGTGAAGAAAATTAAATAAAACATAAAAAAAAAAATAAAGGTTAAAATTAAAGGACACTTTTTAAAAAAATACACAATTTTTAAAAATAATTAAAAGTGAAAAGATAAAAAAATTAATTAAAAAAAGTTTAAAGTGCGAAAGAAATTAAAATAAATGTTTTACAAAGAAAGAAATAAAAATAATTAAATATATATATATATATATATAAGTTTTTAATATCAAGAAATAAATGAAGAGTTTGAAATGTTTACCAAATTGCCCCTTCATAAAATAGTCATATTAAAAAGTAGACTCACTTTTCTCTCTCCTCATAAATGTATTGGAGTACTATCTTTAAAATTAAGTGGGACCAACAAGGGTAAAAGAGGAATTGTACCTTTAAATACTTATCATATAAGGAAGTGTGACATTCTTTTTGGGACTGACCAAAAAGAAAATGGTGTCACATAAAATGGGACGGAGGGAGTATAAAGTTACCAATTATTAATTGTGTTCAATTTGTGCACTCATCACTTGCCTTCAAGAGAGGGTGCACCCTCTCTCTACCATGTCATCATTTTTGGTGTATTTATTTCATTTTAAATTTGTTTGTGGGAGGGGGGTGGGGGTAATAGGATCCTAGTTAAGTTTAGGTGTGTCTTTGGGATTTTGTCATAGTCTAGGGGTGTGCTTGTGCATTAGATTATCACTTCATGTGATACATAAATGAACTAGAGCACATTTGGAATGAATAATACAGCATACACGAACAATAGACTTTAGATCTAAACTCTTCAATCTTTTCACGTTTCACTCAAGGAAAGTGTCACTCAGACTTGCAAGACCTAAATAAAAAATAATCGCTAAACAAAGTAAAAAAGGTTAAATAAAGAAAACAAGATAAATGCATGTATCTTACTCATAATACGTATCTAGATATATCAAATGCAAAAACGAGAGTGTTTTCAAAATCCAAAATCAAACAACTAAAATCATACCAAAATAATCTTCTGAAAATCCTTCGTGCCCCGCTTCTTATTTTGATTTTTCTTCCTCGAACATTTATTCTAAATATTTGCTATACCTTATTCATTGTTATTCTTTTTCACCATATGCTAAAAAGGCTAGGAGGGTTAATAGAACAGTTTTATAACCCTAACACTTTTCTTGCATTCAAATACCACTACAAAATGCCTGAATTCTGGGGGTTTAATAGCGGAGGCTAGCTACGCGCCCCACAAATTGCAGTAATTACCGAGGGTTTTGTAGTTGACAGAAAATAAAACTAAATAGGGGGTTTAGAACTCCCGCCATCCGAAAAAAGAAAATGTAAGTAAATAGTAGGGATTTTACACCTCCCCCATCTGAAAATATAATTTTTTATTACAAAATACAAAATCAACACCTATATTTTTATGCTACTATATGTTTTTACTTATTTTTAATTTCCAAAATATAAATCACTCAACTATTTTTAATTCAAAGAAATACAAAACACACAAAAAAAAAAATCATTTATGAAAACTTCACCAGCTCCTTCACTTCTCCTCTACATTTCTCTCATCGCTTCATCACCATTTCTCCGTCATTTCTCCACCACTTCTTCAACTATGTAAACTTCATCTACTTTACGAGATTCGGAATCGAGATAGCCATTTTAAGGTAAAAAAGAAATCGCTTCTCTCACCTTTTTTTTTTATTTTCCTCATCTCAATCTTCACAAATCGGAAAGTTTTGTACAAATTTCTGATTGTATTCACTAGGTAAGTTCATTAGTTTGCTGTTTGTATAGATGCATGGAGGTAGAATTAAGTTAATTTTGTTGTACTTTCGTGGATGAAGAATTCGAAATTGTCAAATTTGCCAAATAATGAACTGCATTTGCCTACTCTTTTTGTGTATTTTGTGGTAAAATTAGGTTAATTTGGTTGTACTATTAGTGGTTTAATTGTCTGCTAGTATTTGTGGTAGAATTAGCTATTTTTCCAGAGCACTGTTCATTTGTGGTAAATTTTGTAGGTCACGGATTCGATTGGCGGAATTAATGGCTAATGCTTAAGCCTGCAGGATAGATTGCCTACATTACACCCCTTGGTGTACGGTCCTTCATGGACTCCCTCGACATAAGAGAAGTTTTTAGTATAATGTAAAAATTGCTTAAAATTTGTGTTAAGTTAGATTCTTTGGCCCAAAAACAAATTTTCTTTTCGTGTTTGACTTTGTAATGCGTCGAATGAGTAATCCTGTTATGAATTACATCATATTGTCACAAGGAATGGGTATACCAGTAGGAAAATTGGCTCTGTATACTGTATTCGGAGGAGTCAGACCTTCAGCGGTACCAAAGCTCGTTAAAATTTATATACTAATTTGATTTTGTAACTATGAACATCATATCGTTTTGCTTCGCATGTGCAGTGTGTACCGATAACCATTGATGTGGGAACAAATAATGAGCAACTATTGAAAGACAAGTTCTACATTGGACTCAGACAAAAAAGAGCTACTGGCGAGGTCAATTTTATAATAGCATAACTCTATATCGTACTTGTTGTAAATATAAATTGAGACTTGCAGCATGTTCTTAAGACATGTATGTTTCTTTTTTGCTTCTTGTAGGAATACTACAACTTTCTTGAAGAATTCATGAAGGTTGTGAAGCAAATCTACGGCGAAAAAGTTCTTGTACAGGTTAGTAATTTGAAACTTGTTAAGGACCAAATCGCCGTTCATGTAACGTCTAAGTCTGATATTTGTAACGTCATCTGCAGTATGAAGATTTTGCGAATCATGACGCTTTTGAGTTGTTGGTGAAATATGGTACCACACATTTGGTATTCAATGATGATATACAGGTATGCTGCTTTTCTTTTGGCCTGATCCCATTAATGCTGCAGGGGACAGCTGTTGTGGTACTTGCGGGGCTTGTTGCATCGCTTAAGCTGCTTGGATGGTCCTTAGTTGAGCATACGTTCTTGTTCTTTGGTGCTGGAGAAGTAAGTCAAGACTTTCTTTTAAAGAGTCAAGTTTTCAATCGTTTCGGTAGACGAGCTATGTCTAACAACATGTAAAAAAGGATACAAATGGTAGCAATGAATAACTAAGGGAAAGAATACAACAATTCGATGACATCCCACTCATGACGCGATTTACATTTGGAGGAGATATTATGCATTTGAAATCATATAATCTTTTTGCCTCTACTCGTGTCGATAGCAGATATGGATGGATTGTTTTCATTAAAACATATTGAAACAATCTTAAAGTCATTACATTGTGCTTCATGTCGATCTCTCCGTGATCACAGGCTGGAACTGGTATAGCTGAAATCATAGCACTTGCAATTTCAAAAAAGGTAAAAGATTTAGGTTGCCAATGGTTTGTCAAAGTCGTATTCTCGTTTAGTATGTTTGATCACTTGATAAATTGTGTTTGTTATCTGTAGACAAACGCCCCTGTGGAGGAAGCGCGTAAATAACTATTGATCTCACACTTTGCTTGAATATGTGATGCCTAACCATGGGGAGCCAGCTACAGTGTCATTACCCAGATTGGTTATCTCCCAGTCCATTAAGAACATAGTTGTTCAGATACTGTGGTACAACCTCATTTTTATGAGGTAACTACTTTGCCTGTCAATCTGGGAAAGGGTCTTGCTTGCTTAAAACTACAACTTTGCTTTTGTGAGCAAAGTAACCTTTGACAAGGTTCTTATGTATCAAAATGGACATGATACACTCCACCTCATCAACACCCATATCAATCTCAAGCCACTTTAGAGCTCTAACAATTAAGTTTAACTTGATTTGGTGAGCTTTATTCTGAGCTTTATTCTGATCTTTCTGCTTCTGGATAATAGAGATCTTTTTTAGTAACCTCTGGTAAACTTGGAGCTCTAGCTTGTCCAGGACAAGATAAAGGCCAGACCTAAAAAACTGGACTTCATGTTCCTGCAGAGCACGTCGAAGAAGTCGTAGATAATGGGAAACTTGACCTGTATGTAGCACATAATGGGTAGATTTGGCTCTCTTATCTAAAAGAAGCAGCTGGTAATGAATGGGCTTGACGCAGGTGCTATTTTAGGAAACTCACAATGTTATTTTCAGTCAAGTACAAGTGCATCTGGGTTGAGCTTAATCTAAAAGTATTATATGTCCCTGTAACTTTCTTTTTGCACTAGAAGGAAATCTCCAGACAAGCAGCATTTTAGCAATAGAAACAAAAAAAAAAGTTGACTAAGTAGGAGTTGAATCCTCATATGTAGATGTTTTTTTGATGTTCAATTGAAATATGAGGTGGGTTCTCATAAAATGTTTCCTTCAAAACCTCTATGGATTGGAACAAAATGAAGATGTGCTATGAATGTTCGATCCCTATTCACAAGAATGGTATCTTATTTTTCATCGAGTTTATTAATTCCTTTGAAACCCCTATAACATGTAAATACATGTTTTTTTCTTGAATCTATAAGCCTTCAGTAACAACAAATGAAATTGACAAAGTTGTGCATCAAATGATAATCAATGCTGGCGCTTATCCATCTCCCTTAGGCTATGGGGGGTTTCCGAAGAGTGTGTGCATATCCGTCAATGAGTGAATGTGTCATGGAATACCTGACTCACAGCAGCTGCAGGTCATTATCTTTTCATATCATCCTCTTGCTTAAACTTTTTCTATGTGTATTCAAGACAAACAGTAATATACTGTGCAGGATGGAGACATAATAAACATTGACGTGACCGTTTACTTGAATGTAATTTGTCGATGCCCCTTCATTATTGTAATAGATTACATGTGCTAACTTTTTTACTACTAGCCGGTCTTTACCCTATGTATTTAGAAGGACATTTGTCTTCTCTTGAAAGTTCTGCCGTTGAATTATGGCTGAACCTTGTAAATTGTAAGGATCATTTGTTCCTTTTTCAGGGTTATCATGGCGATACGTCAAAGACCTTTTTCTGTGGTGACGTGAGTGAATCCATAAAGCGGCTTGTAAAGGTATAGATTTCGTCAATTATGAAAGGAATGCTGAAACAGTCTGGTTATTAGTTTAACGAAGTTTTAGCTTCTGAAAAGTTAATCAGAACACTGCTATTTGAAATTGAGCTCCGCTATGCTAATACTGGTTAAGATTTAAGATACCAATCAGTATTAACAATAGAACTACTGTCTCTTTTATCATCCGATGCTCGTTATATTGATTATGTCTGTATTATCTTACTGTGGCAGGTGACTGAGGAGTGCTTGCACTATGGAAGTGCTGTTTGCAGAGATGGTGCTCTTTATAGGAAGATAGGAAAGAGGATCAGGTAATTTTCTGAATATGATATTATCGTGAATTCGTGATTATTATTTGGTGATATGGATATTTTGAAGCTTCAACAGTCTATCTATTTTGAAGTTCCTATACGTGTCAAACTGTTTCTGTCTAACATATACAAAAACTTTTAGTTATTACCACTAAAAAATGTCGGTAGTGAAATTTGCTGCTTCTGATGAAACTTTGAATAATTTACTGTGATTTTCTTGAATATTGTTGGCAAACAGTTAATGTCATTTCTTGTGTATGTACCTTATTTTTTGTTGACACTCTTTCTTGGACATTGAACTTTTTGGACTTTGATTTCAGTGAACATGCTGAAAAATTTGGTTATGGTGTTGTTGATCGTTTTGTTGGACATGGTATTGGGACAGTATTTCACTCTGAACCACTCATATTTCATCACCGTAAGTCACTCTCATTTTGATCAACTTTGACATTTACTACTGCATTTGTGTTCATCCGGTAAAATATCTGAAAGTTGTGGAAGAGTTATCTAGAATTGTGAAGACCATGCTTAATCTAACACAAAACTAATTCTAGATAGGTTTACTTTTGGAGGAGTTGGTTGTGTTTGTCCTGTCCTTACTTTTCTCTAAAGAACAGGTTGTTTATGTATACAGCCTAGGATTGTGATGCATTGGTTGGTCAGAGTGCATAGGCCGCACCCTAGGATTGTGATGTAGACAGCCTACTCCAATGCAAGCAAGCATTAGTGGTTGCTTCCGTGGCTCGAACTCGTGACCTATAGGTCACACAGAAACAGTTCCACCATTGTGTGTTAACAATATAAAAAATAACAAGGTAGATTATAGTTTATATGAAATGATATCAAAACATGTTCAAAAATTGGTTATTTACTTAAAGAAACATTCATATTAACATGCAGATGCCACTAGTTGCCTTATTCTATTTCCACGAACTTCTTAGTTGCTAATACGATATTTTATGATTAACTGAATCTCCTCTTTTCATTTCTTATTTGCAACTAGTATAAAATGCATAGACTTCAAAGGGAGTAGTCACTTACCTCTCTTAGCATCATGACATTTACCCTTTAAATTGAATGTCACCTTCACAGTGAAAAGATCGTTTCATCACCACTTTAGTCTTGTTTTTTAAAGAATGGATGCCATGATTTTTGAAGTTGCTATCTCTAAGTAATTCCTTGAGACCTTGACTGATAAACTTAGATCACTAGCTGTATTTATTGGGTCATAGTGATCATGCCCCATTGGACGCTAGAGACTCTAATAGATGGATCGCTATACGTTCTAATGGCTCATGTTCCTGCAGAGCAGAAACCCAAAGGGGTTTATGTCTTTCTCCGCGACTCACTACAACAATTACAACGCCCTCTTTCTAAGGCTAAAGTTATCTCCTTCAATACCCATTTATTGTGTATTTTCTTTTGCAGCCAGGTGATGTTCCATGAACTGTTGCAAGTCCTTTCTTGAGTTTGGATGCTAGTGAAGACTTTTCATCAATAAAAGCAAGATTAACCAACAGTTTTCGTAGTGATTTCAAGTTCCTTTTAATCGTAATGGTTGGGGTGAATAAATTATTTCAATATAGCTTGTAAAACGAATAGTACACTTAATGATATATTTTTGTGTTTGAAATATGTTTTATTTCTTAATACTAATATGTCCTTTTAGGTTTGGACTATGATGTACATGTTAATTAGTCATTAATATTTAAAATTGAATATAACTAGCAGATGCTGTAAAAATTTACATGTTCATGAATTGCACGGTTGGAAACTCCTGTTAATTTTAATGTGAAATTCATAAATTCCGGGGGTTTCCGACTCCCAGACTCACAAATTGTTGGGGTTCTGATTCCCAGAATATGAAGTGCAGGTTTATTGATGTCAATTTTCGGGGTTCAAAACCCCCGCTAATAACCCCTGCTACTGGTAACAGTGGTTGGTGAAAAACCCCTGTGACTTACTTGTCACAAACCTAACAGCAGGGGGTTTTGCAACTGCCGTAACAACATATTGCGGGGGTTACTGACCGCTGCAATATGTAATTTTAACTCGTAATTTTAACTCCCGCAATTTGAACATTTTTTTGTAGTGTACAGACAATGCATTTAGTTAACTAAGTGGTGTTGGCCACAATTTTTATTTTTTTTAGAGTTGAAATTCGAAAATCATGTTTGGCCATAAAATTTTAAAATGGTTATGCAATTTAAAAAAACACCAAAAAATTGTTTTCACTCCAAATCGCTCACAAAAATTCAAAAAAAACTCTAATTTCCAAATACTACCACCGTCTAAATTTATGTGATGAAGTTTTAATGGGCACGAAGTTCAAGAAATAGAGGAAGACTTTGTAATGTTCCAAAACTATCTTTAAGATAGTGAATTTTTAAATAGAAGAGCAAACTTTTGTGGACTTTTCTGGAAAATAAGTGAGACCCAACATGGATAAAAAATTGATATTGTCATTAAATATATGTCAAATAAGGAAATATATATTCTTTTGGCGATTAACTAAAATGTAAAGTGTGTCACATTAATTGGGACAAACAATTTTCAGGTTTAAAGTAATTTATTTTCATAGTCAAACAGACCCTAAGTGTTTAAAGTAAACTGTTCATTTTACAAATAATTGGTCTAGTATGGTATTAATAATTTACAAATAGCATCCATAGGATCATTTATGGCTGAACAATGCAAATTTACATCATTTAAACTTCGCAACTTGCACTCTCTTTGCTCTAATAATATTGGGAAAATGCATAAGTACTCCCAACCTATGCTCAAAATTTCAGAGACACACTTATAATTTATTAAGTTTCCATTACCCCCCCTCCCCCCGAACTTATTATATAAATAATTTTCTACCCATTTTCGACCTACGTGGCACTATCAACCAGATAGCTTGAAAAAATTATCAACACGCACTGGGCTCAGAAGATAGTGCCACGTAGGCCGAAAATGGGTAGAAAATTATTTATAAATTAAGTTCGGGAGGTAATAGGACCTTAGTATAGTATAAGTGTGTCTTTGAGATTTCGGGCATAGGTTGGGGAAGTACTTGTGCATTTCTCCAATAATATTTAACTATTTCTCTTTTTATATCCATCTAAAAATAGCTTTCCTTGATGGAAAATTCTCCATCCAACCATTCAAGTCAATAAGTTAACTTTTGTTTTGATCGTAATGTTTAACTAAATTTTCTACTTTTTCATACTTAAACCTATTAATCTAAAAACTTGTTAAATGATATTTTATAAAAAGCTTTTTACCAGCATAATATAATGAACTGTTGTGTTCACAAAGGTGAGATCATCATTGTGTTGGGACTGATAGTGGATGAAGCCTAACCTTTTATATTTTGGAAGGCAAACGAAAGCTTTCAAAGTGGGCAAAAAAGAAATCTATTAATTTTGCCAAGTATTTAGGGGTCTCTATTAGGGGGATGTGTAGGAAAGAGTAATTGATTTGTTGTGTTGCATAGACAATGAGACAAGAAGTAATGCAATTTGATGTGAAAAGAACCCCAATAAAAGGGTCATCATTAAAGCAGGCTTTTTGAAATAAGGAAGGGGGGGGGGGGTTGGATGTGATATGTATTCAAGAAACAAAAATGGAGACTCTAACAGATAGCATTAGTAGAAGTGTGTGAGTGTGTGTTAGGTGTCGTATGGGGAAATAGGATATACCTTGGGTGTTAGGGGGGACTTTAATGACATAAGATTCCTGGAGGAGAGGTTTGTATGTAGGGTGATGTCTAGGGCCATGGAAGAATTTTCAGAGTTTATAAACAATCTCTCTTATTAATTTGTCGTTAACAGGTAGCTCTTTCACATAGTACAAATTAGAGGACTCATCTTCTCAATCGAAAATGGATAGATTCCTTGTGTCTACATCTTAAGAGGAGTTGGCACCCAATTTGATCCAGGTTCCTCCGTCCGCACTCATCTTCTCTTTTGCCCACTTTGAAAGCTTCCAAAATAGCAAAGGTTATGCTTACTCTTTCCTCCGTCCGCCCTTCTTTTCAAAATTGCATTACCTCTCATCTCATTTTCAATGCAACACTACAAATCAATTACTCTTTCCTCCATTGACCTAATAGAGACACCTAAATATTTCCCAAAATTAATATATTTCTATTCAGCCCACTTTGAAAGCTTCTGTTCGCTTTCCAAAATAGCAAAGGTTATGCTTCATCCACTGCTAAGCCCAATACAATGATGATCCCACCTTTGTGAGTGAAATAGTTTATTATATTATGTTGGTAAGGAAACTATGTATAAATAGTTTTTAAACAAGTTTTTAGATTAATAGGTTTAAGTATGAAAAAGTAGAAAATTTAGTAAAACATTACTACCAATACTCAAGTTAACTTATAAACTTGAATGGTTGGATGGAGAATTTTCCATTCAAGGAGAGCAATTTTTAGATGGATGAAAAAACAAAAATAGGTAAATATTATTAGAGCAAAGAGAGTGTAACACCCCAAAAAAAAATTTAAGTTAAGCTCCTAACCATTCTTGGATTGCATATAAGGCCGTACTAAGTGACTCTTAATTTTCTTAGGTGTTAAGGTCAATTCTTTAGTGTGGGAATGAATTCGGATATGAATTAAGGTCACTAGAATCTCCTAGAACAAAGTTAAGTTGAAAGTTTCCTTACCGATTAATTTTTTATGTTAGATTCTACTTGGATTATCAAATTAAAGGTATTTGAATCTTGTTTCCAACGCCGCCTATTTCTTATCAATCCGAGTTTCGTGTAAAGAGTTATGACCATTTTTAGCAACCTGATACAGTGCAGTGACGAATTAGCCGACGAAAAATCGTTAAAAAGCAATTTTGTCTTTTTACCTCTCAGAAAACCCTAAAAGAATTTCTTGACTAATTAAAGACCAAAACCAATCAGATTTGCATCTCTTAATACACCATTTTTTCTCTCTCAAACCCTAAGACAAAACCCTAAGGAAAAAAATCAAAGTAGAAGACTCCATTCGAGATTCTTTCAATCTTTTTCAAGATTCTTCTTCAAGGTAAGTCTTTCTCCAAGAATTCCATTCTTTCCAACTCAATTTTCTTCATAAAATTATGAATCATTAATGAGAATCCTAATTCTTGGCAATAGAGATTTGAAGAAATTAATTCAAGAATCTCAAGAAAGGTTTTCTTGATTGTTTACCTTCAAGCTAGGGCTTCAAGGCTTCTAATCAAGTTCTTATTCAAGATTCTTCAAGAACCTTGTTCTTCCAGGTATGTAAGGCTATCATAGTGTTGGACTAGTTCGTCCTCACACCCTACATCTACTTTCAAATCAGTAAAAGAGTAATCTAGGTTCTATCCCTAGATTTGAGTATTCTTGAGATGAGTTGATTTTTGTAGTTCTTGAGTTCCTGATTTCTTTTTGTAAATTCTATTCCTAATTATTGAATTTCTATATGTTATGCATTGAGATTCTTGAGTTGATTTGTTCATATCCATAATTCCACATGAACCCTATGAATTGAGTCATAAATTTTGAGAACTTTTTTTAAAGCCAAAACTTGAGTTCTTAAACTGAAATTTGAGAAAGTAAAGATGAGTTTTGCAAAAAAGGTTTTCTAAAACATGAGTAGTATGACAATCGAGTATGCCATCAATGTTTAAGTAGTATGGTATCTAGATATACCATGAATGTTTATGCAGTATGACTTCCCGAGTCATCAATGATCATATTATAATATGATTTTGAAATGTTTTTGAGAAAGAGTTTTCAAGTATGAGTATAAGGGGACTATGTATTCCCAGAGGCATCAATTTTTACCTTGATAAAAGAGAAACTGAGATTTCTAAATGAGTTATGAGTTCAAAAGTTATTTCAAGAGCAGTTACCTCTTTTAAAAGGGTAGTTTGAGCAATTATCTCAAACCAGAGGAAGAGTTATATTTTTTTAAAACATATGAGAATGAGTATATATTATTAGGAGTAGTATTGAGCACTAATATGGGGGAGAGTTCAGACAACTCACAGCCCCCATAAACCATGTATGCCAACATGGGTAAAGGGTCATACTTTTTAGATGATTCCTTATTTCTTTTAAGCATGGCTTAGTGGATCCACTTAGTTAAGGATGTCCTACACTCCAGTAAGGTATAGGACAGTTCTGGCAGCATAAGCGAGACGTTGTATCATCACGTTGCTCATAGTGATGGTTGTCGTTTAGGTTATCTCTTAAATAAGAGTAATTAGTTATTATTATATTTTTATATATATTTGAGTTATTATCTACTGTTCTAAAAGTTTCATGTATATAACATCTTTTATTGTTGCTTTCATTTTGAGTTGAGTATCTTTAGTTTGAGTTGAGTTGAGCATCCTGAGTTGAGTTAAGTATCCTGAGTTAAGTTGAGTATCCTTGAGTCGAGTTGAGTATTCTTGAGTCTTATTGAGTTGAGACGAGATAAGTATGTCTTCCGTTTTATTAGATCAAGGTTATACTTATGTTGCAGAGTTCCCCTTACATTCTCGTACATTTCATGTACTGACGCCATGTCAAGACCCGAGTCTACACCCTAGACGTGGCCGACACTCAAGAACCATTGTTGGTCCCCAAGCGAACCCTCATCCTGACTTACTACAAGCGGAAGGCTAACTTAAGCATGCAAAAGCTTAAAACTGAATTACAGTGCAAAGATTTTCTCAAAATG